TTGGCGGGGGTCACGCTGCAAACCGCGGCCCATTTTTTGGTGGCCCAAGAGAGCACTGTGTAGCGACGTCCTAATTCCTACTAGCGACCAACGTTTTCTTGACCTAATTCTTGGCCTATGACGGTGCTAGCGTATATTTGCAAAAACACTAAAAGAAAAAAGCTCGTTCGTGTCTCAAGTACCAAGTCGATACGGGATCGTCTCGGACGACTACTGCCGCGAGTGGAGGCGGAGCTGGTACACGCAGTCGATGAAGCGGTCGTATGTGATTTCCGTCTCGGCGCCGTCGTCGAGCATGTCTTGGCGCGCCATCTCTGTGATCGCGAGCAGCTTCTTGACGCCCATCGGCGTCGTCTGGCTCAGATACAAGGCGATCTGCGACCGCGTGCTGTCTGACATGGGAAGACCCGCGCCGGCGAGCACGGCGTCAAACTGGTCCGGTGCTTCGAGCTGCGGCACGAGGACGCTCACGTCAAAGACGGACGCCAGACCCAAGCTCGCCATCTCGTCGTACGCTGACGTGATACCAACAACGGCGAGCTTTCGGCCGGGCACCGGCACTGGGTTCTTGATCATCACGAGAAGCGTTTGCAGCATCGAGTTGGAGAAGCGCGGGCCGCTCGCTACAATGAGTATACTGGATAGTTTTTTGGATACTTGGATAGATGGATAGAAGCAAACGTACCGACATATTCCATGAGGCGTTCCATGTCATCGATGATAATGAGACTCAGTGGCGACCGGTACGCCTCTTCAAAGAGCGTGTAGAGATAGCTGCTCTTGGCGAGCTCTTGGCGGCCAATCAAGTCGGCCACCTTGACGAGCCGCACGAGCGGGTACTCGCTGGCGACCGCGGACGCGGCGGCCAGGGCGGTTTTGCCCGTGCCCGGCTGGCCGTGCAGCAACACGCTCATGAGCGACGTCTTCTCGTTCGTCTTGACGTGGTTGAGCACCTTGCGCAGCGTCGCTTGCACGTCGTCAAATGCCGGGCCGTACGAGAGCAGGCCATTGCGAAAGAACATCTCGAGCGTGTCCTGGGGCGCGCCAAACTTGGGCTTGACTTCGCTCAACGCGAGTTCAAAGTCGGCGAGCGAGATTTCCGGTGTAAAGTTCTGGATCGCGTGGTACGTCTTGCCGTCCGTGCCGCGCGAGAGCGCGTGGGCGGTCGCCGCGCGCACGAGGCCTTCGATTTCGGCGCCGGAGAAGTTCTTGGTGCGCTGCGCGAGGTTCAACGGCGCGTCCTTGACGGCCGGGAGCATGCACGCGTCGAGGTCGGCGAGCAGCGCCGGGTGCAAAATGCCATTTGCCCGCGCTTTGCTCGTGTGGATGCTCAGAATCTGGCCACGGCCGTGCTCGTCCGGCAAGTTGATCTCGACTTGAACCTCGAGACGACCAGGACGCATGAGCGCTTCGTCCAGCATGTCCTAGATCGCGATCGATTGATACATTGATAGTCGAAAACACGAAAATGTGTACCTTGCGGTTGGTCATGCCAATCACGAGCACGTTGTTGAGCGAGTCGACGCCGTCGATCTGCGTCAAGAGCTGGTTCACGACGCTGTCGCCGACGCCCGTGCCGTCCCGGGACGACCCACGCGCCTTGCAGATCGCATCGATTTCATCGAAAATGATAATGTGCAGCTCGCTCTCTTCGCCGACTTCGTCTTGCTCTTTGCGCGCGTCGGCAAAGAGGTCGCGGATCTTGCGCTCAGATTCGCCCACAAACTTGTCGAGGATCTCGGGCCCGTTCACGACCTTGGGCTCCTTGGCATTGAGCACCTAACGTATCATGTATATAATTTGAGCATCATGTGTGCATTTTTGTGGAAAATTTGTCTTTTTTTCAAAAAAAATCGCAAATCGGGTACCTTGCCAATCTGCCGCGCAATGAGCGTCTTGCCGCAGCCCGGCGGGCCAAAGAGGAGCATGCCCCGCACGTGCTTGATCCCGAGCTTCTCAATGACGGACGCGGGAAAGACGCGGGATGCGAACGCGCGCCGGAAGATGTCGTTGAACTCCTTATCGAGGCCGCCGATACCGAGCTTGGAAAAATCAAAGTCGGGTTTGAAGATGCGGTTGCCGCCTCCCGTTGCGCTCTGGAACATCGTGCATGAGACGTGATGGCGACCGCGTGTCGTACCTGGTTGAGGAGCTTGAACGGCGCGTCCTTGCCCTTGGAGAACGCGAGCGCGCTGCCCGCAACGTAGAGGCCGACGGTCGGCGCGAGGCTTGTCGGCGCGGGTGGTGCGTCGGGCGGCGTGAGGAGGTCGACCTTGGTCACGCACATTTTCACGGGCTTGCCGCCAACGTCGATGACGATAAACTGGCCGGGCGAGAAGGCTTGGTTGAGGTACTGTTGCTCAAAGATCTTCTTGACCGCTTCGCAGTCGAAATCAGCGACGACGTTGGAGCGCATGAGCAGCGCCTGGACTTCAAAATGGACGGTCGCGATCGCAAAGCCGCGCGCGACATCGGGAACCCACGGCGTAAGCGCGACGGACTGGCCCATCGCGAGGTTGGCGCTCAAGCGGTGCATCTGGCCCATGCCCACCGTGCCCGGCACCGTCTCGGCGAGCGGCTGGGCTGCAAAGACGTACTTGTTGTTGGCCCAGACGTTGAGCCCCGACGCCTTGAGCTGCTCGACGCTCGTGACGCCACGTGGCGTGCGCGAGACGAGCGCGCGGAAGTCGTCCGGGTGCACGTAGATGCTGTTGGTGAACGCGAGCGCTTGGCTCGCGAGGCCGCCGACCTTGCCCTCCATGCTGCTGCTTCTGGAAAATGAAAATGAAAGACACGATCCGGCGAAACCCCTTCGTTCTCAATTGAGCACCTCTCATACAGTAGGCAAGACACTGGGAAACTCAAAACGAACGTACAGACTGGCCGTTTCGGTAAAGTGCGATTCTCAATGCGTTCTCGGCGCCACAGTGCGATGCCTGAAACTCAATAGAGCCAAAACCGGACGCGATTGAGTCTGGAAATAGACCAATCACAGCAAGCCATGTCAAGATACCCGAGAAGACACACACAGGCGTAATCCCATTCCGCGACCGCAACGCAATTACAGTTCATAGTCCTCTACATCTATAACTGTATTGGATAAGAGACCCCCTTAAACCGTGTCTGAATCGGCAACGACCGGACGACACCTCTCGGTGAAGCCGCTCTCACGCAGCCATCGCAGGCGTCTATCTATCACGTGGGTTCCGCGGTAAACTCAATCAGCAGAATCAAACTCAAAGACATTGCGTATACAGTGCTACGCCAGAATGTGTGGGAGTGGGCTCCAGCACTGGGTCGGTGGGAGTGAGCTGCGTACAGAGAAGAGACCCG